GTGGGCCCCGGTCCCCGTGTCTGCAGCCGTCAGGAGAGGGGGAGCTGAGAGCGAGTCCGACGCTCAAGCTGCGTCTGCAGGAAGCGCCGTCTCCGACGACAGCAGAGCTCTTCTCGCTCGTGCGGGACGCCCCTGTGCCCTGTTGCTGGAGGAGCTGTAGGCTGATGGAACTTTCTACCCAGACCTCTGGGTCTAAGCGAGCCTGAGCCCCTAGCCCCACGGGCAGTTCTTCCCGGTGGGGACCCTGCACGCAGCCAGGACGAGGGAGACTCCCCAGCACTGAGTCATGAGAGCTGTGCCACGAGACCGACAACAGAAGCTGAGAAGTGGGAGAGCCAAGGGCAGGGACAGATGGGCAGTGAGTGGACGGAAGTGGGGCGCAGGCAGAGGGGAGGCTGGAAACACCGTGCAAGGACCAGCACTGTGTTCCAACTACAAGCTGCAGACTTAGACATTGGGAGGAATTAGGAGGACAAAACAGTGGTTAGGCTGTGTCCTGGGGACAGAGGATTTGTGTATTTAATAAAAATTGGGAATGGAGAAAGGCCTAAGAACACTGACATTGAAAGATACCACCCAGGAATACAGATGCGTTTGGCCGTGTGAAGGTGGGCAGGGCAATAAGGATCATCAGACACTCAGCCTGGAAACAGAACAGGCGCTCTCGAAAGAAACCATCTATCCTGCTGAGGAGGCCCACCTGTTGCGGTGATGCTGGAAGCTATCCACTGGTGTCTCAGAGACCAGCAGGGTCAGCTGTGGGGGTCAAGTCAGCCAGTGAAAGCCCTCGGGGTCCCAGCAGATTGTTGTCTGACTCGCTGGCTTTGGACACTCCATCATGAGGGATCAGTCGTTGGAGGGGGACGTCACGTTTGGTGAGTGGAGGGCAGTGACACCCCTGGTGAGATGGTGGGCACGGGAGTCCCAGTGACGGACTTGAACATGCTGGCAATTGGGAGATGGATGGAGGACCAGGCAGCGTTTCATTCTGTTGTCCATAAGGTCGCCTAAAGTCAAAGTCGACACAACAGTACCCAACAGCAGAGAAACTGAAACTCGTCGGTTTTATATATGCTAAGAGTTTTAAAGCAACCACCAGACCAAAAAGTACACGCCTTTGCTAAATACCAAGAGAATTACGTGCAAAAAGCAAACAAAACCCAAAGCCACACAGTGAGGGACTTTGAAAAGCAGTAAGGCAGGAAGCAAAGAAAGAACAGAGCAGGATGATATGAACGGGCAGCGCTCTCCTGTTAAAGAGAAGCCTCTTGGGTTGGATCACAGAGCAGAACCAAAGGTGCCGGGAAACACGGCATGCGTGCGAGGCACGGCGGCGGCGGCTGTGCACTGAAGACGCCGGGGTTGGGATGTTCATTGTGGTTGAGTGCGGGTCGGAAAGTGGGGCTGAGGGTAAAGGAGACTGCTTTCCCACAGCGAGGCATTACCTGTCGGTAATGCGGGTGACATCAGACCTTCGGTGTTCAGACGTCCTTGGGAGGAGGAGACACCGGGGAAATGGCCAAGCTGGTTGTTGTCATGTGCTGTCAAGTCGGACCCGACCCATAGCGACCCCTCCTTGGGTTTCCGAGGCGGTATCACTATGGAAGTAGATTGCTCAACCATCCTTCCGAGGAGTGGCTGGTGGGTTTGAACTGCCAGCCTTCTGGTTAGCAGTCAAATGCCTTAGGCACTACGCCACCAGAGCTCTCCAGGATAGCTTATCCCATCCTGGGTGTGTCACATGGGCAAAGATGATGAAACAGAAAAAAACGGAAGGTCTCTTACACGTGTGAGCCCCTGTGCCCTGGAACTGGAGCATACCTGCCTGTGAAGTGCTCACGGAAGCATTCACAAAACTTCAAACCATGAAGGAAGCCATTATCAATTCAAATCGTGCAGGCGATGTTCTGTGACCAAGATGTGATGAAATCGGAAATTAAGAACTAAGCCAGGAAGGGACACACAACAAAAGAAACAAAGCCAAACCTTAGAAATCCAACCAACCAACCAAAATCAAGACCTGCCTTACCCAGTGCTGACTCGAAGAAGAAATGTCATTTCAGAACGTGTACAGTCCAGTCAGCAGTTGTCATGAGCGCACTTCTACAGGAAGTGGCTAAAGCGGCGGCCAGAGGAAACTTCACGGGTTTAAATATGTCTAGTATGGAACAAGACACAGTGGGTCCAACATGGCTCAGACAGCATGCTCAGGAAGCAGCCAAGGCGAGGAGGACGGGGGGCAGGGGGGACGTGGAGAGGAGGGATCTGGGATGATCCGGGCAAGGTTCACGGGAGAGTGAAGAGTGGTGGAGACAACAAGCAAACGCAGATGCCCGTTCTCTGAAACAAGACCAGGAACAGAGCAACTCACGGCTCTGGTGACAAGGAAAGCAGAGGCACCCAGAATGACAAGGTGACATCTCGATCCGGGCATGATTGCTGGTGGTGTGTGGGTGAGATTCCAACTCATAGGACCCTGTGCGACCAACGAGAACTGCCCCACTGGCTCCCTGGCCTGTCATCTCTATGGAAGCAGGTCACTGGGTCTTAATCCCACACAGTGGCTGGTGGGTTCAAACCACCAACCTTCCGGGGGACAGCTGAGCCCTTGACCACAATGTCCTGAAGCTACCTTGTACGTGGAAGGTTATCGGGTGTTTTCTACGCTTGAATGATAAACAGTGGGAACGACACTTAGAAATTAAATACATTCACAGTCATGTGACTATAATCTCGCAAGGCTTTTCAAATGGCAACCTCAGGCAAATGGCTAATTTCACACTCTTATCAGTACCTCCTTCAGAAATCAGACTCAACCCACTGCCACTGAGTCAAGTCTGGCTCACAGCAACCCTGTAGCACAGGAGAACTGCCCCAGAGGGGTTCCAAGGCTGTCATCTTTACAAAAGCTTACTGCCTCATCTTTCTCTTGCCGAGCTGGGCACTTTAACCACTGCACCATCCGGGCTCCTTCAAGAGAGAAATTTTGAAATGACCAATTACTGTAGGACAGTTAAGGTGGCATGAAACTATCTATCCTGCCCCCACCCCACCCCAGCCCCACTCTACCCCCATCCCACCCTCACCTACAGAAGAAAGGGCCACAGAAGGTGCCACGAGAAGGAGCCTCTTTCTCAGGAAAAGGAGCCCTGATGGCTCAGTGGTTAAAGCATATGGCTGCTAACCAAAAAGGTCGATGGTTCTAACCCACCAGCCACTCTGCAGGAGAAAGATGTGGCAGTCTGCTTCTGTAAAGATGGGAGCCTTGGAGACCCTGTGGGCAGTTCCACTCTGTCCTCTAGGGGTGCTGTGGGTCGGAATGGACTCCACTGCAGTGGGTTTGGTTTAGTTTGGTTCACAGGGAAATTTGACCAGATCTTCAAAATGCAGGCCCTTGAAGCACTGACTAAATAGCTCCAGAGCATGGGGAAAGGGGGGAAGCTTCCAGAATGTTCCTCAGAAGTAAACATCACCACCCCCACAGAGACCATGCACCTGCTTGTGTCCATATGCACCAAACACTCCCACCCCAGCAACAAGCCATCACCCTTGTGAACTTCAAGGCTAAGGTGGTAGGAGGCAGCCCCTCAGCCCAGCATAGCAGAGCACAGCCCCACAGGTGGGCTTTGTGCCAGGACGGGGCTGTTGTGGGAGTTGTGATGTTTATGTAGTGGCCTCTCTGACAGAAGGTGTTTGACACATCCAGTCCCTCTCTGCAAGGACTGGGGGGAAAGGCCTGGGCCAGCGCTGGCGGGGCTGCATCCCCACCGCCAGCCCCAGCCCCAGGAGCAGTAGGCACAGAGCTCAGGGGCCGGCTTGGCTCTGCACCCTTCATCCCCAGGCAGACAGCAGACAGACAGACAAGTCTGCACTCCTGGGAACGGGGGCCCCATGAGGGAGACAGGCAGGGGGGCCAGGTGGGCAGAGAGAGGAATCAACCGGCCAGAGCCCCGAGGTGAGTGCTCGCAGCTGCTGTGAGCGGTCGTGCCAGGCTTGCAGGGTCTCGGTTGGAGGGTGTCGGGACCATGGGGCCTCGAGGGGCAGGCTGTCCTGCTGGAACAGAGCGAGGGCAGGGTGGCCGGGCGTGTGGCTCCTGGTGGAGGGGCTTCTGTGACTGGCCTCAGGGTGGCCGGGCTGATGGTGGTGGATGGTGCGAGTGGGGTGCTGGAGCGGACTGAAGGCATCACCAAAGGCAGGCCTCCCTGTGTAGCGAGTCTCATGGGTGTGGCTGGAGCCCCACTCAGCACTGGGTCTCCCCTTAATGACCTTGTGGGATATTTCAGAAGTGGACCCCTCCCTGAGGGGGGTGCATTGGTGGGGCGCCGAGCTGTGTCTCTGAAGCCCACCCTCCCCTTTACTGACATACCAGGGGTCTAAGTGGGATGGGGTAGGGGGCTCGGGGAGCCTGAGGGCTGGACTGGAGGGACCAGAGCCCTGTTGGGCTCGCCACCAACAAAGGCGTCGTTGCCCCTCTCAGGCGGGGAGCCATACAAGGGCCTTGGAGCGCCTCAGAGACCCGTCTCCGGGCTGAGGGGCCATAGCGAGCAGGAGCCAGAGTCAGCCGGACTCCGGGCCCCGGCCTGTGTGTGTGTTGGGGCCTCATGGCAGCAAGCGCCCCCCTTCCTTCCTCTGCCCTGCTTTCTCCAGGTGCGTTAGAGCAGGGTTCTGTTTCCCCTTGCACCCCCTCCCCGGGCCCTACGAGCCAGGAACTGGAAGTCACCACCGTTGTGACTATTAAAGTGGTGGTCAGAAATGTGCCCCCAGAGATGTTCACAGCACCTCCTACCCCAGACGGCAAGTGTGTCTGCTGCTGGGAAGAGCGAGCCTGGGTCTGCCTGGCCCCGCTACTTGGAGGTCTGCAGCACTGGGTTCTTGGGTTGTCCAGGGGACGAGACCAGCTCCTCTGCAGGGTGGGAGTCCCATCCCACACCCGCCCAGCCCGGGAACCTCGGCCACGGCCTGTGACGCGGTGTCCCAGCTCACCCTGTGTCTTCTTGCAGCTGGAGATGGAACTGAAGATCCTGCAGTCCCAGGCGGAGCCTGCTGCCCAGAGCTTCTCCACGGGAGAGGTGGACATGCTCAGGTAGGACCCGCCACCCTGCCGCCACCAGAGCTCCTTGTCCTCCAGGGGGGAGGTGGGCATGCTCAGGTAGGACCCGCCACCCTGCC